AAACCAGTGCGGTGTGCTGAGCATCTACATCAGCGCTGGCGGAGGCAGCAGAGCCAGACCGCGTGGGCATGTTGACCAGCCGTGTCAGCTTAAGCGTGTGATCTCACCTCAGGTCCACATATGAAAAGCAGGTAGCCCAGTGCTAAGGACATGACAAAAGTTCAGTAACTGACACAGATTTCATTATCACTGAGTCCTCATCTGTCTACTTTGGGACTATTATCATAAAAAAGAAAACTATCAACAAGGAGAAGGCATGTTTTCGACTTCATGTCCTTTTTCCAAGAGAAAAAGTCACAAACATACGCAGAATGAATGCCTTGGCCACACATGCTTGTAGGTTTGGCTACCGAGCCTTCTTGGTTTTGCAGAACTTCCACATGCTGGAACGATGCATCCCACCCCTTCAGCCAAGCTCCAATTAAAAAAATGTAATAGATGGTACTCCTCCTCCTAATCTCTTCCTGTATGTGATTGACCAGCATCCACATTTCTTGTAGAAATTACTGTTCTGAAAAGCTGGGGCAGGAGGGCAGGCAACCCAAATTATCTGAACACCTTGAACTGCTGGAGTTTATCTCCAAGCCAGTGAAAATAACCAGCTATCAAGGGCTCCACCTACAGGCACAAAAGGAAAAGGCTAAATTTAAGGTAGATGTCATTTACTCACAGTACAGAGAATTGTGCCCCTTTTCCTTTTGAAAGTTTCCAAGATGAAAAAAGATGTGCTTATTCCAACAGAGAAGTTGGAATAGTGTCTGACAGGCTACCATGGGAGTGAAACTAGGCCCATGCTAGGTGGTCCCCTGGATGGAGTTACTAGAGAACAGATTTTATCTCACATAAAAGAAGGCCATTTTAGCCTTAGTTGGTGTGGCTCAGTGGATTGAGTGCTGGCCTAAGAACCAAAGGGTCACCTGTTTGATTCCCAGTCAGGGCACATGCCTGTGTTGCTGGCCTGGTTCCCAGTGGGGGTCAGGTGAGAGGCAACCACACACTGATGTTTCTCTCCCTTTCTTTCTCCCTCTCTCTAAAAATAAATAAAATCCTTTTTTAAAAAAGGACATTTTAAAGATTTTATTTATTTTTAGAGAGAGGGAGGGAGGAAGGAACATAGGGAAAGAAACATCAACGTGTGGTTGCTTCTCAGGTGGCCCCCAGTGAGGACCTGGCACGCAACCCAGGCATGTGTCCTGACTGGGAATCAAACTGGCGACCCTTTGGTTCGCAGCCCTCACTCAATCCACTGAGCTACACCTGCCAGGGCCAAAAGAAGGACATTTGAATAATGAGCACTGTCCATACACAATGAAGACAGGAGGGAAGAATCATCACTGCGGGTTTTAGGCAGGGGCTAGAAGGCCAAACACTAGGAATATTGAAGAGACTGATGAGCTGGCAGAGAACTAAGCTGGAGTATATTTAGGACTTTATTTCTTACTTCAAATAAAATTTTTACTTTGGAATAATCTTAGATATACAGAAAAGTTGGAAAGGTAGTACAAAAAGTGCCTATATAACTCTCACCCAGTTTCCTCTAATGTGATTCCCTTACATTCCCGTGGTTCATTTGGCAAAACTACGAAACTGACATTGGCACTCTGCAATTAACCAAACTCCAGGCTTTATTCGGATCTCTCCAGATTTTCCACTAATGTCCTATATCCATTCCAAGGTTCAATTCAGAATACAACACTGCACTTATGAAAACACTCATTTTATTTTTCAAAACACTTAGAACAGTGTCTGGTGCATAGTAAGCACCTGCTCTATTATTTCATCCTATTGGATGATTTTCATGTAGGTGAGATGGCATGTTTCGAACACATGTTAACATTTTACTCCCAATTTCTTAGACTGAGGGTTTACATGTAAGAAAATAAATAGAATTATTTTACTGGGATATAGCAAAAAGCTATTCATACAAAACAAGTAGTAATTTATGTTTGTACTGAAAACAATTACAGCTCTGGCTGCGTGCGTCAGTTGGTTAGAGCATCATCCCAATACGCCAAGGTTGTGGCGTTCGATTCCCTGTGAGGGCACGTACAAAAATCAACGAGTGCGTGCACAAATAAGTGGGACAGCAAATCAGTGTTTCTCTCTCTAAAAAAAATCAATAAATTTAAAAAATTTTAAGAGAAAATTTTCTTTTAAAAATAAGTGAAAACAGAGATGTTTATTCTCAAAAAAGAGTTCATCCATAGGATATCTTCTAAAGGTCAGTAAAACAAATCATGTCTCACTTTTTTAACTCCTTTAACTGACCCATTCTTTCAACAAATGAAAGCCTACAATTCGCAAGGCAGTGTGTCAAGGCTGAGGTACTGTGAATAAATCAGACTTTTTTTTTGTATGAAGCTTACATTTTATGAAACTAAATAGTGTACATAGTCATACATAAGCAGTTGGATGGAATCTGATACATCCCACATGAAAAATCAGTAGTAGAACCCCTCATCTAAACACACGGGCAACATTTGCTCAGATGTGGCTATGAATGTGTTAGGTGACGGAGGGAAGGGCTCAGGCCGCTTTAGTTCCACTCACCCAGGTGCGCAGGCTCAGAGGGGAATCAGACGGAGATACAGAGCAGGGAAAATCTGCCTGGCTCCAGAGTGTTCGCTGCTTCCTGAAAGGAGCAGCTGTCTCGTGACTGGTAATATTAGCCTGATGCTACCAGGTGCTCAGTCTGTGCCAGACACTGTCCTAAGTGCTCTCTGTGTATTGCTTCGAGTAAATCCCACCTGCACCATATGAAGTACATTAATATTATCCCCCAAGCTATAGATGAGAAAATAAGGCAAAGTGATCTAATGCAAGAAAAATATGAAGGAAGGTGAAACGTATCTTTTTGTATTTTATAACTTTCTGAATACAGAAGCAAAAATTGTCCCAGGCATAAATAATAAAATCAATTTCTACTTTATTAAAAAAATTTTTTTGAGGGAGCATCTAAGATTTTGCTCCCTGCCATATCATCGCTTTGGCTCAAATAAACTCTTTTCTTTTTAAATTGATTTTGGGCATGGAGGGGAGAGAGGGGCAGAGAGAAAGAGAGAGAAAGAGAGTAACTTGTTCCACTTATTAAATAAACTCTTATATAAAATTTTTTGAAAAATGAAAATGAATCACCTTGACTTCTAGATTCAGAAAGGAAATATTCCTTAGGACTAAAATCTTGGAATATTTTCTAAGATATCTCAATGAACTGCTAAGGGAATTTAAGTCTAAATGTGCGTATCCTAAAAGCTACTAGTGTCTTCTTTTCACAGCTCAGCAAAAGCACAGGCCACTGCTGTGCACTGCATCAAAGACAAGTATCAGTAAGGCAGCCCCTTCCCTCAGATACTTTACACTGCAGTATATGCATTTCATTTCACTCATGAACATCTAAAACGGTGTGGAACTGAAGTGCGTTCTTAAACAGCTAAAGTGCCAAGTGGAATAAGGTAACTACCGCTAGAAACCTACAAACCCAGTGCTGCATAAGCAAAATCAAGAAAGAAACAGAAGGAGTTGCACCTGGCGAGGGGGCGCGACTCTACTGTTCAAAGACTAAGTGGACTTTTAACAAACTGAGACGGATGACAGTGTAGGACACCCTTTATGAAAGGGACAGCATTGGTGAAGGCAAAAAGGTGGAAATCGATTTTCCTAGGAATACCAACCGGTCCCGTTTACTGAGGTGCAGAATCCTGAGCTGAGTTTTATTTAGGATTTCAGTTCTAGGAGTTTGGGAATGGACTAAAACCCCAAACGGCTGAACAGTCCTCTTCTAGAAGGCTCATGAGTATCGTCCTCAGACTTATTTTTTCCTTATTAAGTATCAATATTTGTGCTTCAAGACTTGATTCAGTCTCAAAATAATTTTAAGAGAAAGAACATCAACGAGGAAATTTAGAATAGATGAATCCAAAGTCAGCTTCCTAGTTGTAACCATACACTACGGTTATGTAAGATGTTAACACAGCTAGAAGCTGGGTGAAGGGTACTCAGGACCTCTGCACTACTTTTGCAACTTCTTCTGAATCTATTATGATCTCCAAATAAAAAGCTTTTAAAAATCAAATTAAAGATACTTCCCCAAGAGGTTCTGAGTAACATCACAGACAACCCAGTGCGTGTGATGTGGGACTGCGGTGTCATCAGTCACACACGGCTCTCAGCAAGTGTCTGCAGGCAGCAGGGCTCATTCCAAAACCACGACCCACCAACTATTAAGGTCTACAGCTGTGACTGGGAAGGCCCACATCATGCTTACAGGTGTCTGACTTGGTTATGTTGATCACAAATCTTGTTATGTGAGATCCCATCAATAAAATCATCTATAGGCAATATATTCTTATGACTGCTTCCCACATGGTGGGATTCACAGGAACCATGTACGGACTTAATTATTATATTTATCTAACTGTAATACAGTAGTGTCCTTATATCTTCCTCCTCCACTAACTATGATTTGCAACAAGAACTGCATCTTGTTCATCTCATTTTATCACTAAAACCTAACCCACCAGTTATAGAATAAATTAGAAATAAACCAGTAATTAAAAGTTATTTTCTTGGACTTCTTGGGGTGACTTTTTTTGATACAAAGAAATATGAGTCTCTATTCTGGAATCAGGATTAAATATATATATACAAGTGTGTGCGTGCGTGCGTGCGTGCGACAGTCTCTGAAGCACGGGGTCAATCTCTACAGAACTTTATAACTACTTGTTTTTTATTTGTCTGTTTCCTGAGATATAGTAACTCCGTATAATTTAAAATAAACTAGAGAGGTCAGGCTTTTCCAAACAGGAAAACCAGTATGAACTGTTGAACAAGTCCCCTCAGCTTGAATGACCCTGTTACAATGATCACCACCCAATTTTATCATGTGCCAAGAACAATCAGTTTCTTCCAGACGTCACTGACACAGCATCACCTTTGGATTCTTCAATAGCAACCAATCAAGAAACATACAGCAATTTCTTTAAATTTTATCTATAGGTTTATTAAAATATGTACATGTTTTTCAAATAAATATTATGAACAACTTAAATCAATCAAAACAGTCAGACCACAAAGTGTTGCTTCTTTCTGCAAAGGTGGCACATCATTAGCTTGTACAAAAAAATCCACAGTCACAACCAAAGTCAAACAGGCTGCCTTAAAGACGTGATGGAAGCTACTTACGATCCCAGGGACACCAAGGACTCCACAGGGTCAGTCATGTGAACAGGCTCAGAAGCCGGCTTGATCTTTAGAACCTCTGCAAAGCCATCACCAAACCAGCACGTGACGTGGGCCGTGTCTACTGTAAAGTAGAAAAGGCGGTCCTGGCAGAGCTTCCGTCGGTATGTAGACCGAGGGTCGGCTGACAACACGGCCTCGATGGCACGCCTCGCCTCCTCCACTGACTGAAAATACTTAAATGGAGCCCGACCAACGTCTGCAATGAGAACACCACAACTTAATGCTCAAACTCATGCAGCTCAAATTTTATTACAGTGAACTTCACTGAGGAGTTTGGTTGGTTCCCTGAATATCACTTGAAATGAACAGGGTTTGGAAATCTAGTCGGTCATTACAGAAAATGTCACCTTTGAGTGGTATTTAGATTAATACCTTTTCCTTCAGGAAGCTTTCGAGTGTCATTCAACTAATGCATCTGCCCCAAATCTTCACTTGCTGAACAAAAAAACCATGGTGATATTTTCCCTTAGTCCCCTAATAGGAGAGCTGAGTTTTCTTTTGCTGGCAACCTAAATGTCGCTTTTCTACACTCAGTGTAGACTTTAATTCAACTCCTTGTCATTTTCTTCTCAGAAGAAATAGGGGCATGTTTAGGGAAATACGTCACAGTCCCAGCATTCTCAGAGAGCCACAAGAAAGAGGACTAAACCCGCACACAGCCAGAGCGAGGGAGGGTGCCTCCGAGAGCAGGTGTCACACCCAACAGCTAAGTGACACCACGTTCTCTCAGGATCAAGGGCGTGAGAGAGTCCTTACGAAAACTGTGAAACGGATACACTGAGTTCAATCCCATCACAAAAGAACAGGCCATCCCATTCCACCCAGATGAACAGATGTTTACCCTGCCAAATGGCAAAACCTCATAGCATTGTAGATATTTTAATTTAAAAAAATAGTCAAATAAAAAATCAACTGTGACCCTGGCCAGTGTGGCCCAGTGGGTTGGAGCGTCGTCCTGTAAACAGAAAGGTGACGGATTTGATTGTCAGGGCACATGCCTAGGTTGTGGGTTTGGTCAGGTCCCCAGTCAGGGTGCATACAGGAGGCAACTGATTGGTTTCTCTCTCTCTCTACCCCCATCACACCTGCTTTCTTTAACTGTTTATAAAACTAATAAGCATGTGTTCAGATGAGGATATAAGACTTTCAAAAATTAACTGTGACCTAATTTTTAACAGCTCCAACATGACATATACATCCAAATGAAGGCCAGGCTGTTCCAGAAAGGCGTGTGCTGTAAACACTGTTCTGTTCCAAAGATCGTCTAGAGTGGTTGTGGGTTTTTACCTTTCAAAAGTAAACTCAATTTTTAAACAGCCTGACTTCATTCTTGGCTATATCCAATAAATAAGTTGGTAAGTTAAGCAAAGGCATGAAGTTCAATTTTTGGTCAAAAACCAATGACCAATTACACACTGCTAAGATTCCTTTGTTGCAAGGCTAATAAAATGACTAAGGCCACTTGAAAAAGCAGAGTTCCAAAAGCATCACATACAACAAAGAAAAAATGGAAAAAAAGGGGAAAAGAAAAAAATTCACACACTTCCATAACAGTGTGTCTGGTAGAAATGCCAGGCCTTTACCTGGTTATTCATTTGGCATAAGTACCTTCCCTCACTTCCCTGCCTACTTATCCTTCTGGGCTCAACTCAGATACTTTTGTCTTCCTTCCAGGAAGCCTTCCTGGAGTTTCTCGCCACTGCCCAAGTCAGAATCCTTTCCCTCGTGTTCCCGCAGCACTCTGTTCTAGTACCAATCTCCCTCCCCTCATTTCAATCTTTCATCTTTTCTAGACTCTGAACTTTCTTAAGTCATTTCTTATTTCTATCCTGGCTCTAAATTCTGCTGTCTGTTATAAATCAATCCCTGTTTTATAGTTGTATTTTGTAATTTCTTTTTAACCATTTTTAATCAATAAAGTACAACACTATAGTTTCAAAAAGATAAAATTTCTTTCCCAAGTAGGAAGCATTCAATAACCATGACTCAAGGGGTAGGTACAGAGTATCTTCTATGCAGTACCGCTTGGTTCTACCACAATAATCCTTTTAAAACTGAACTTCTTCCTCCCTATCAACTGTACAGAGCGCTAAAACTACGTTCATAAACACAACTTTTTTTAATAAAGAGATCAATTTAAAAATCAAATGCCCTGCTTAAACTTAAAGCCTTAGGAAGGAATGAGAAGTACAACCCTCTAGTGGCAGATGAAATCTGACATCTCCTTCCTAACTGGCTTCTTCTTACCGGATCCACGGTAAGAAGGCACCTACCTCTGAACAGCCCCGTCCTTTGTTCTAGGTGGCTGCTTGGGGTCTGCTGTGGGCTGGAGAAACCAAATGATGATGTTCAACAGGCTCCAAGTGAAAGCCCTGTGGCCTCCGTTCTGCAATAAAGTACATGTCTCCAGTGCAGGGACTTTATAGAGACAATTTCTGTGCTAAAAGACTTTGCCCTCAGAAATACCAAATTTGGCTAAATCTCTTACTGAAAGCTCATCTGTCCTTCAAAAATAAGAAACGGAAAATACCTAGTTTACCTTTGGAACCGAGGTGTTCAAGCTCTAGCTCTGCATGAGGAGTAAACCGGACGTCCAAGGTGGCCACAGGGGCCTCTCGCACCCAGGTGGGAACCACACTGCGGGGGGCTGCGTCCGCCACCGTGGAAGGGCAGTGAGGAGCCAGGGGCTGCACGTCCGCACTGCTTTCCTGTGGGACCACTACTTCTCTCCCTCTCCTTGGCCTCTTATCCGTGCCCTCCTCTGAAGAGCTCTTCTCCAGGCCGTGTGAGCCGACCTGCTCCTCTGCCACACTCGGTCTCTGACCACTTCGGGACCTGAAACCCAAGTGTGCGGCTATCTCCCTGTGCTGAGGTGAGCTTCGCTGCACGGTGGCTGCGTCACTGTGCTGCAGGCCGTTTTCTCCTGAAGTTCTGCCTTTGGCAAATGCAGGTTTCTCCTGAATGCGGCCGCAGGGCTGCGGTGCATCGCGCCCTGAGATCCCCTGCTGGGCACAGCCGTCGGTCTTGCCATCAAACCAGGACACGGCTTTTGGTTTATACTGGTTATTCTGTAAATCACGCTCCCCTGAAGGCACAATCAAATTTTGTGGCAAGTCGTAATCAGCTATGTAGGGCTTTATGTCCAGCACAGGTGTGCCGTGAATCATGTCAATTCCAGAAAGGTATACAGCTCCACCTATAATGTAAAAAATACCTCTTAGAAATAATACAAATAATTGGAGAATCAACATTATCTACCTATGCCTCACCAAGCCTAGTCACGGTTCTCTTACATACCTGGCTCTCTCACACCTGCTCTCTCTACATTGGAAATTCACTCTCTTCTTCACCTGTCAAACTCCTACTTGCTCTTCAAGGCTCTCACATAGCACCTCTTCTACAAAGCCTTTCTGGCTCTTCTAGACAGAAGTGTTCTTTCAGAAGAACCTGTATACAAACTGTCCTAGGGCCTTTTCAGGTGGCCTGGCAATGGTCTGCTTGGAGTCTCTTTCCCTAGACAGTGTGCACTTGAGCCCTTCAGCACCAGGTGGGGCTAACCCACCTTTGTGTCACTGGGGCTTCTAACTCTGCCACAGGCACACCAGCGTCCTCAGTGTATCTCTGTGGGACCAAGGGGGGTTTCCACTGTGGCGAACAGACTCTAAGGTGTCCCGCATGATGCCCGCCTCCTCGTGTTCATGGCCCCGTACAATCCCACCCTCTTGAGTATGCCTTGAAATCACGCCAGTGACTGTATTACATTATCTAACATTCCTGTGCTTGCTGGCAGACTTACTCAAGAGGCCTGTGGGCCTGATGAAGCAAGCAGCCACGCAGGGAAAGCCCACGTTGCAAGGAACTGCAGGCGGTGTTTAGGAGCCACAACCAGCTCCTAAAAGCCCTGAGTCCCACAACTACAAAGAAGTGAATTCTGCCAACAACCTGAGCTTGGAAGTGAATTGTTCCGCAGTCAAGCCTCCAAATAAGAACTCATCCCAGCTGACACTTTATTTGCAGCCTAGTAAGACCCTAAGCAGAGACCCCAGCTCTTGACCTATAAAAACATAATAATGTTTCAAACACATAATAAATCTGCCACATTTAAATCGCTAAGTGCATAATTTGTTATGCAGCAATTGAAATGTAGTATTTCAGAGAGACTCAATTAAGCAGAACACAAGTCAGCATTACCAAATACTAAGAACAGGTCTCCTGTTCTCCCACTCACGCAGCTGCTATCCAGTTCCTACTACTGCTGGGAATTCTACCAATTTGATCATTGGAAATTTGGCCACATGAGAATCAAAAAACTGCATGTGATCACATTCAATTCTATCTCCATTTAAGAAAAACACAATTAACAAAGGACTCTGATTTCTAAAATTATGCTTACTGTGAATGAATCTGGAACTTTGGAAAGACAATTTTGCATTTTTAAGTGATTATGCCTAACAATGACCACAGAATAAAGAAAAGGCACCACCGTAGCAAATCCTGTTCATGGGATTTAGGAGTCAGACAACCCCCTAGCTAGATGCTATTAGACAAATTATCGAACATGAAAGGACATCAGTGCCCTCATCCATAATGGAGACTGCTACCCCATCACACCCAGAGAGGCCCTGTGAGAGAACATACATGAGCACTCTTTTGAAATTATAACACTACACCAACACTAGTGGTCACTGTAATGCTTATTTAGGAAGAGCATCTATAGTACTGTCCTTGCCTTTCAACTTTCTGATTTGAGCTCCCCCATTAGAACATGAAGTTGTTCTGTATGGCAAGGATTTTCATCCAATTTGTTCACCACAATATCCCCAGCACCTAGAACAATGCCAGGCACATAGTCCGCGCTTAGAAAATATGTGTGGGTTGTACGAATGATCATAAAATGTTCTAGTATTGTTCACCCAAGTTGGTTGGCCATCAGAAATGGATAAGACTCAAGTTCGATAGGCTACAGAATTTTTTTCTTTTTTTTAATTTAGTTATTTTTCAAGTACAGTTTTCTGTTTATTTCTCCCATCCCAGCCCACCCCACCCTGTGCTCCCCACCTCCCTCCCATTTCCACCCCCCTTAGTTATTGTCCCTGTGTCCTTTATACTTGTTCCTCTAAATCCCTCCTATTTTTTCCCCTTAAATTCCCTCCCCTTTCCCCTCTGGTCACTGTCCCCTTGTTCTCTATTTCAGTGTCTTTGTTTTTATTTTGCTTGCTTGTCTGTTTTGTTGTTTAGCTTCCTGTTAAAGGTGAGATCATATGGTATTTGTCTTTCAACACCTGGCTTATTTCACTCAGGCTACAGAATTTTTTCAGAAAACCTGCCCAAGACCCAATTAAATACAACCCAGCAGCAGAGTTCAAGTTCTGGGAAAGTACAAAGAAAATAACTGCTCTCATCTTTTTAAGCACCCAACAGTCTGAAAAGTACTCATAGAGCTTTTGCCTCAGAAGATCCTCAAAAAAATCACACAGAGTTCCAGAGAGGGCAGATCCTTCTTCTTTGCCCACAGGACAAATACGTGGGCTGAAGCTTAGAACGGTCTTCTGACTCTAAGTCGACCTGCTGTTTCATTTTCTGCTTCTCTAATAAATGTGCTGAACAGGTCAGAGCAATTCAAGACAGGGATGCTTGCTTTCCAGAACGGTGTGGCTGGGTCACTAGCCACACCACGTGGAGTTAAAACTAATCCGGTAGTCTCCACAGGTACTCGACCTGACGGATGGCCGATCCTTCAGTGTGACTCGTCCCAGAGGCTCTGCCACACATCAGTTGGCAGACGCATAGCAGCCACAATGCACAGTCACCTCCTCAAGGCTGCATAGAAGGAATGATACACCCAACACTGCCCACATATACAGGTACCACCAATTCCTGTGTGGTAAATTTTGAAAGTGTCCAACTACTTTTTAATCATTTTGGATTTATTGCATTCTAAGTCCTAGAAAATTTGGTTACTAATTTGATCATTATAAAATTTTTAAAGTTATTTTTAAATAGTTTAAACTTTTGATAAATGTAACAATATAAACAAGTGCTGAGCATCCTCTGAGAGCTTCTATCAAAGGGTTTCACTGCTAACATTTATTAAGCACTTTCTTCAATGTCTGGTGTTACCACCACTGGCACTTATCTGAGTAACAGCCAGGGCTGAACGCTATTAGTTTTACAATACTTTTTAAGGAAAAAAGGTAAAAGTAGAAATGACATGTGTTACCTTCCACTTTTTCCAGCTTGGCCAGGGTCAGTCCGATGGCATTGGGACGATGCGGGCTCCTGGTGGAGAAAACCCCAGTCTTCGCGCCATTCAGCCTAGGAGGTTGCACTTTCGCCTTACAGCTCAAATGACCATTTTTGTGAAAAACAAACAAGATCCTGTTGAAAAGAAACCAAACCATTAAGAAAAAAACCCCACAAACTTACCATAATAAAGGGGGGAAAAGCTTTAATCCCCACAAATTAAAGCAGAAAAAAAGCTTTTAAATGGTACTAAAATATAATCTATGGTAAGAACACCATTCCCTTTTCTTGAAGGAACACAGAGTCTTATCTTGTACATACAATGACTGGCACACGGTGCGCACTGGACGGATGTCTGTCTAGTAGCGCCTGAATGAACAACGTGTACAAGGAAGTGCCTATGTGTGCTGGGCGGTATGCCAGGCACTTTTACACTCATTTCATTTCATCTGCTTAAGAACCTTAAGAAGTGTAATTTATCCCCCATTTTAAGGATGAGGAAACCGAGGTTCAGAAATATTAAATAACTTGACTAGGCCTTTCTACACAAGATCAAAAGCAAGGCCCTGGCCGGTATGGCTCATTTGGTTGGAGCATCATCCCACAGATCAAAGGGTCAAGGGCTTGTTTCCGGGGGATTGAACTGTGGGTTCAATCCCCGGTCAGAGCCCTTCTGAGAAGGCAGCCACTCAATGTTTTTCTCTTATATTGATGTCTCTCTGCCCCTTCACCTCTGTCTGAAAGCAACAAAAAAACTGTCCTTAGTTGAGGATTAAATAAATATATACATAAAAAATCAAAAGTAAGAATCTATGAAGACAAACAGTAACAAATTGGAAATCATTAATTTAACATACTACAAAATGTCATCCCAAGAGAAAATGTTTACTGGTGTTTAACAGACCATGGGTCAACACCTGTGGTACAGAAACTGTTCCTACAAATCACAAAGTAAAGGACAACTCCATATAGGAAACTTAACAAAGAGTGGACATGGCCATTCACAAACAAAACAGAAATAGCCACCAACCATATGAAGAGATGTCGAACTTGTTAATAATTAAGAAATTAAGCTAAAGACCAAAATACTGTTTTTCCCTGCTAGGCAAATATGTAAAAAACTGATAACATATAGTGTTGGCAAATGAGTAAAGGACATTTCTAGATACCTTTGAAGTATAAATTGGTTAAGCTTTTTAGAGGGCAATTTGGCAGGAATACTCCAAAATTATAACCCAATACAGCCACTTCTGGTACTCTATTCATAAAAATATACAATTGCCCAGGAATATGTATCTAGGGGAGTTTGTTACAGCATTACTATAAGAGCAAAATAAATCTCCATTAACAAGTGAACTGTAATAATAGGTAGCCATTAAAGCAAAAAAAAAAAGGTAAATCTATATGTACAGTCATGATATATACTAAGGCAACATATTCCATTTTTTAAATATAAACCCACTCTGTATGTGTATATTTATGTGTCTATGTGTATTAAAGAAACAAGAAGAAAAGGTCTGGCAGCATATACACTGAGCTGTTAACAGTGATAATCTCTGAAAAGTATTAGGGGGTGGGGACAAAAGAGGAGAAAAATAGGAAAAATGAGGAAAAAATCTGTATTCTCCTGAGTCCATATTTTTTATATTAGCAATGTTTTGCTTTGTTTTATTGATTTTTTTTTTTTAGAGAGGAAGAGAGAGAGAGATACAAAGCAACACTGATCTGATGTTCTACTTATTTATGCATTTATTGGTTGACTCTGGTATGTCTTCACAGGATTTGAACCCACAACCTTGGCATATCAGTATGACACTCTAACCAACTGAGCTACCCAGCCAGGGCCTCACCAATGTTCTCAACTTAAATAATTCAACCACAATCATAAGAACTAGGTCAGAACACCTGTGTTCTTTCTACTCTACCCATGTTCCCAGATTAACATAAAAAAATAACTATTTCACAATGAACACTTGATTTTAGGTCTTCACCAGTAAAATTAGACCAATACGGACTGCTGACGTTGGGGTGAGAAGAATGGACAGAATTCCAAGTGACATCAATATAACACAACCTTTAACATAGGTAATATTTTATTTAAAGTATCCAGATTTCTAAGGTATGTTCAGGCACTTTTGTCTTTTAGAACGAGCAGACTTAATTCTTGATGGGTTGAGGGCAGGGTCCATAAGCTTTTTCTGTAAAGGGTCAGACAGTAAATATTTTAGGATTTGCAGGCCAACCAGTCTCTGCCGTGACTATTCAACTCTGCTGTGGCAACACGTTAACAAATCCATGTGGCTGTTCCCATGAACTTATTTACAAAATCAGAAGGTGGGACGGATTTGGTCCATTGGCCACAGCTTGCTGACTCCCGGTGTAGAGGACAGAATGACTACCCATACACAGAATCAAAATCTATAGATTTCAGCTTAACAGAAAGGCGCTGATCACAATTAGAACCAACTACAAATAAATGGTGCCCCCTCAGTACCTCCCAAGCTTCCTCAGGGTGTCCGAGTTATGCAATCACATGTGTAAATACATGATAGGAATTTCATGCAGTAGACAAGGATGGTCTGGATGGCAGGCTCCAAGGTTTCCCCCATCGGTGGTTCCTTAGCAACTGGAATACTTTTTGCTTAGGCACAAGATCTGACCCAAAGTACCACTTCGAACTATAAAACTTACCAAACATGAGAAAACTGTTCTAAACCCATCAAGGAATGTTCAGGATTATTAAAGATGCTCTTTCTAATTCTCAAACAAGCCCTTGAATGGCTACAAATGGATGGCTGCCTTGGAGTACCATTCTTGGCTGAGAAACAGGATTCCAAGTAGCCAATTGGCTCAGTTAAAAGATTCCCTACAGGAGAAAATTAGATAAGAAATCATTAGTCAAAAGGTCATCAAAGATGTTGGGAAACATGGTTTTTTTTTTTTTAATGCAGTGATTTCATAGTTTTAAAATCTACCAGGTGTTATTCAACTACAGAACATGATTCTTACAGTATTCATGAATATATACAAATACCCTCATCATTATATACACATTGTTATACAGCTTGAGATGATACACTGGTAAGAGCACAAGTCTAAGAGATAAAAGAAAAGGAAAAGAACATTGTTAGAAGAACCTACTATGACCAAAATTCAAATTCCATGCTACCATTACTAAGTTTTGTGACTCTGATCAGGGCTAAGAGGGTATTTCAAATAGAGAGAATAAGAAACAGAGTTAAATGAGAAAGAGTGTTGGATATGCAAGGAATGAGCTATTTTGACTGGCTGGAGTGTGAAATACAAGGCAATGAATATGAAAAGTGACAGTGGTTGTATTTAAATAAAGATGTTTTCCATGGAAAACAACATATGAAACAAACTAGTTTAATTAAACAATAAATTGAATGTATGGAATCATACTACCAAAATACCTACAGGCAGGGCAGATTTCAGGTTAGGCTTGGTCTAGTTACTCTCTACCCCTCCAGAATTTAAGATCCATGTGGGCAGAAGATTTCCTGTTTTGTTTATTGCCATGTTCTTATTGTCTAGTAGTACTTGTCTGCAAGGCATTAGGCACTCAAAAAATTCATGTTGTATGAAGAAAGGATTATGTAAGTCTTAGGTGATTAAAAAGGAAAGTGGCAACAGAGAAATGTATGTAATATAATCCTAGATATAAAAACTTGTTTATATACTTAGCTATCTAAATATGTACATATATATCTAGAAACCTACCTGAAAGGATATTCACCAAAGGTTAACAGTGGTTAAAATAGCTACAGAGAGATCTGGAGTAGTTTTACACTTAACTTTGTAATTTCTATAATATTTGAAAATTTTCAATGATCACAAATCATGTTTTAAAAATGTTAAAAAGCTGTAACATCTTTTAAAAGGAAATACTGGCAAGGCAGCATCAGGATAGGTTTAAAGCAAGGAATCCACAACTACCATTCTGAATTTACAAACTTTCCCCCCACGTTTCATCGAGGCTTTATCAACTTCTTTTAAGAGATGATGTAAAGACACTAGAGTGACTGTCATTTCATTTCTCGCTTCCATGCAATCTGTCCCACCAGCACAGGTGGTATGACTGGGCCTGGGGTGGTCTCTCACAACACTTTTCATTACTTTTCACTTTAAAAACAAAATTAATTGGGACATAAAATATACGTAAGACATTTGTAAGTAATAAAACATAATATTATAATGCAACCCCATGTACTTTCTACCCAGCCCAAGAACTAGAGCTTTTACCAATAACTTGCATCTTTTTCCATTGCTTCTCTCCTACCCCACACCCCTCCTTTCCCCTTGAGATAAACAGGAGCCTGACCCTGATCTTTATCACTCATTTCCTTTTTAAATATGATTTTATCAGATGCATATGCATAACTAAACTATTTCATTTATTTTGCCTTTGAGAGATATAAGAACTTGATTCAAACTGCTATCTTCTCAGACTTGCTTTCTCCTCAATATTTATGATTCTAAGATCCATGCATATTGTGTATTTTTTTGATGACTTTATTTTTTTCCCCAAGTATGTTTATAGGTCCCCCTGCTCCCATCTAGGCTCTGTGGAACAGATATAGTAAAAAAAAAAATCTGAAAGATGAAGAAACTGAGGTCAAACGATCCTCTGGTGTTCATTAGAATGTCATGAAGAAAATGGCCAAAAAGGACTCCTAATCTAATCAGCTGGGATCCCTGTGTTCTGTTGTCATTGATCTAACACACATTTCCCAAGCATCTACAATTGCCTGACATTGTGCTACGTTTGGGGAAAAGATACAAAACAGGAACTCTTATCACAAGTTAACAGTATGCTGGGGAGAAACTCACAACATGTTTCATTATTGTGGGAAATGTCATAACTACAGTTATGATCAAAAACTTCTGCCCCTGACTATCTGTTTGGGGGCCTACAAATGTACAGCTAACTGAGCACTCAATTCACTGAATCAGTCTATTTCTGTTTTTCACAGATTACACACATGCTATGGTAAACATGAACTGTAAGCAATTACATGCAGTCCACTCCTCTTTTGCATCTCTATTAAGAACATAAGCAAGATAACACTGGTTAGCCATGAACTGAAATACTCAGGCGTATGTTGCAGGAGTCCCTCAACTACATCACTCTTAAAATTTGGCACCACTCTCAGCACAGCCTAGTGGGAACCTGACCATATTCTAATATGTCTGAACCCTCTGGGACTTACTTATATATTAGTCTCCTGTTCTTGGGATTATATAAATGCTGTGAAATACAAAATGCTCAATACTTTCCAAATATAAATGCTACTTAAATGCTCTACTTGAAGTGGAGGCCTGAGAACATCCACCTAGGGAGAATCCTCATCTCCTCCGTCTTGCCTGCCTCAAAACAAACTAATAAATAAAACATTAAACACCTACCATTTGATATACGTGCTGTGCTAAGTGCCTGGGTGCAGATACAAATAAGAGGCAGTTCTTACCCTCAAGGATGTCCAGTATATCGACAGGGATGGACAATCAAAATTAAATCAAACCGCCTTACATGCAGGATAGAGATAAGCACAGGTATGCCAGGGTGACGCTGGCATGAGAACCACACAGGAATGGGATGAAGTGGTTCCCTAAAGTTACATGGGAGGTTTACGGCTGGTATGAGAAGAGAAAAAGGACAAAAACAACACAGGGCCATTATACTACCCGTGTGACCTTGGGCAAAACTGCCTACCTCTCTGAATCCCGGTTTTCCTGTCTATAAAACCAGGACAATAATACCTATATTGGAAAGTTGTAAGATTACTAAAATATGTAAAGCACCTAATACAACGGAAGGTGCTCAGCAAGGAGCAGTTATTAAAGCCCTTGCTCAGGCTTTTCCTGCCTTTTAACAATATTACAACTGTATTAACAGTGTAATAAAAAACCAACAAGGTATTAATAATGTAGAGGGTTTTTATACAAGGTTCATTTACAAGTCTTGTGCACACAGAAAAGTTCGGGTCCTTTCCACCTCTTGCCTAGGCTATTAAATTACCATTGTTATAATTGTCTCCCTTCTGCCAGTCCCTCCCCTCCTCAAAACTCACTACCCTAATCCATCAGACTCTGAGTTCCTTGTGTCATGCTCTCTAACTTTCCATGTTTCTCACTGTTAACAGATGGCACATTTCTTAGCCTAGTGACCAAAGTTTTCTACAGTCTGAATCCAATCAAGGGTTCCCTAACCTCTCTGTTCCATCTTCTAATACTTCTGGATTTACACCTCTCTAATCCCATGCTCTGTGGACCTCTGAGCCACGCTCTTTCCTGCCTGTCAAAATATCATACTTGTAAGCCTGCAGTGTGCAACCATTTTTTAAAATGAGCACAAACTTTGACTAGGTCACAGTCCCAGTACTTCTAGGGAATTTAAGGCAAACATTTAGAACATACACAAAAATTTTCATTTCAAGAATTTTCATTCAGAACAATGAAAATTGGCAATAATCTAAATGCCCAACAATAGGGAACATGTTAAGATCGAGTTGATATATGATCCCACTGTTCAGGGAACACTATAAAACAAAATAGTGTAACTTCTTAAAATTAAAATTATTAATTGCCATGGATTTTTATGAAATCTTAAGCTTTTTTTAAAAAAAAGTTTATTAACAGTGAGATCGTATATCAACTCGTATTTCTAGGATGTAAGCACTAAAACAAGTATGGAAGGTAGACATCAAGATATTTACAGTGGTTTTCCCTGGGTGATGGCCAACTACTTTTTCTTCCACATGCCTCCTCTAGTTTCTAAAATGAATCTATTTTTCTCTCCATAAAGAGGTGAAATAGAGAAGCACAATCATTTCCATCTCTTCCGGGCCCAGTTTAAAACCATTTCCTCCCTTGACCTTCCCACGTGCCTTCCTCACTTCCTAGAGCGTAGGGTGCTTCTCGCTTGTGGCATTTATTAATTCCTAACCCGCATATACCAGCAGTATATAACCTATCTTTCCCATATGAACGAAAATCCCCTAAGAGAAAAAGCCCGTTATACCGGCTGTGGCTGTCAGCCATAGCGCCAAAACCAGGTGGATCACAGATACCAAGAAAAGTGACATGACGTCATCCCACCCGCCTCAGACACATCACGTGGTTGACGGAGCACGTGACCTGTACCTTCGCCGTAACATAATGACGCAGTATAATACATCAGTTCAGGGTCTCACATTTCATGTTCCTCTCGGCACTGAAGTGGGCTACCTACACCTAGCTCGTCCAAGTGTCAAGCGGCCAGCCTCTCAGAAGTTACCTGTTTCCAGTGATGGCTTGACGCACCCGCACGGGGTCGCTGTGGGGCGAGGCCCTGGTTCCTCCCAGCCGCGCATGGCTACTGATCACAGATGTGCCCACTTGACGCATTCTAGCCTTCCGCTTCCGGTAACCAAGTTTGGCGCCTGCGCAGTAGCTGTACCGGCAGGGTGGTGCAGTTAGCTGGCGCTGGCGCGGGCAGTGGGGTGCGCGCTTGCGCGTTGTGCTCGGGTAGCTCAAAGACTATTGGTACGACGTAGAGCTATATATTAGCTTCTGTTCCTTTCTACTGTTCCTTTCTACAAACGGTGTCTCGGTTGTCCTGCGCAGACCCACTGCAGTTACCACCCATTTCAAGGCAGTCAGCGACTCCCAAGTTCCCGCGCTTTCAAGGGAGGGGGAAGCACATCAATGAAGCCTTAAAAGACGTCGGTCTCCAAATAACCAACCTACACATCTAACAAGTGACGCTAATTTTTAAAGAAAAAGATTGTGCATGTACAATCACCAGATAGCAAAATGATCGGACGTTAGGAAATGTTTGAGATTCTCGTGGGTGGTGAGAATACCCATACATTAATACTTGTATGTATGCGCCCATTTTTTTCCCCATGAGAATGATGATTTGCCAGAAAGGAGCCCAATTAAACCTTACTTCAAATAAAATGGATGGGGAATCCCATACCGAATTAGGGATTAAAAAGTGGGTACTGTTTCTTGTGCTCCCTACCTCAAGGGAACTAAAAAGAATGAAACTTGAGTCAGCACGCCCTTTACTTTGAAGGATTATGGTCGTTTGGGGGCACCTCTGAAAAGTTGAGAACCAACAAGAATCCTTTGTTTCGTCCTATGCAATGATCAGTTATCCCTGCACGGATAGCCTATCCTTTTACCCACTTAATTGTAACGTCATCCCTCACCTATTTGTCTATTTTAAGTTTCTCTGTATGCATAATTTTGTTACTGGGCTTTTAATCCTGTTGTTTCACATGCTGGTGATGGGGGGGCGGGGGGACATTTGCCTGCAATATAAATTATTCAAAAGCATACAAGTCCACAGATTTAAAAGCTTAACAACCACGGAAAAAAAAAACAAAACACTGTTTTTAAACCTGTTCACTTGTCACTAGTACAAGACAACTAGCAGAAAGAGCCAAGGATTTAGAGAACGTTTGTTTTGGTTTGGTTTGGTTTTTACATGCAGTTTAAAATATAATGAAATTCACATATGTGTCTTCTGATAGGTTTTTTCCACATGGAAATTTGGAAAATAATGCTATTGTTTCCAGTTAGAAACAGCTCTGTGTAGCTGAAGAAACGTGTTTGAGAATTGCTGAGCTACAGACACGTTGCAAAACCGGGGTGGTAATAGCTGTGTTTGCCACTAGATGGTGGTGCTGTGGAAAGTGACAGTCTTAATTTGTGGACAGAATAGTGTAGGAAAGGAGAGGCATTTGCCATCCTGGCTGTAGATCTCATGTCTTATGACAATCACACAAAAAATATGTTAATTACCAAGTGTGACATGTACTGAAATGCAAAGCAGATGTGGAAATGGCGTAGATTACTACCTCTTTTAAAGGTAAAACTTCTTTATGTAAAACAGGAACTTAAATATATAGCACTTTTAATATATGATTTGAGTTATATATCCTGTCTAGAGTTACATATATGATTATTTGTGGTTTTGTAAGACAATCCTTTCTCTGGGGGGTAGGACTTAGGAATCTGACTTAAAAAACAACCTAAATGATTCTAATTGAGGTGGTCATAGCCTGCACGCTGAAAAACACTTTTCAGTATAATGACTCAATCTTTCAGTTGAGTGGAGGATCCCTTTGGAAATCAAGTAAAGTTTTGGACCTTCTCATTTCATCATGTTAGATTTAACAATATAAGGCTCGTGGTTTTTGGTTTTTGTTTTGTTTTAAGAACAACCACTGTACTTACCTTGAAAGGAGGGCAGCACAAAGTAGGGCTAGATAGGTTCTTATAAAACTTTAATTCTGACTGTGACCTCAGGTTCTAAGCCAAGAAAAAAAAAACAGGAAAATATACAGATGCTCACTGGTGTTTGAATAAGAGTGAGAAAGCAGAGGTTGTATGTAAATAGGGAGTAGGGTAAAGAGGGCAGGCAGAAAGGGTCCTAAAAGGTAGAAAGAGAAAATCCCTTCTTCCTCTAATGCACTATATGCCTTATTCTCTCTCCTTCCCCATCCTGGTTCCCTTGTACATTGTATACATGGAATCTCTTAAGGTTCCTCTTAAAGCAGTGCTAGCTAGAACTTGAGATTTCAGTTCACTCCTTTCCCTCTAATCTGGACCCACTCTGGAAGGGCAAATTGAGACAAAATTTCCAAAGATTGAGCACCATGGTGAAAAGCACTGAGGAAGTTAGATGTGACTTTGGGTGAGTGGCCAAGCCTCTCTGATCTTATTCCCTCATCTGGAAAATGGGCTGATAGTATTGCCTAGCCTATTTCAGACTCTCAGACCATTCAAATTAAGAAGTATATTTGAAAGTATAAATTCTGAAGTGCCATGCAGATATAAGGGACTATCATATATGACATGCTGCCCTCAGTGTTACTTGAGTAATATAATGGGGTATGAGAATTATTGTACAATTAATATATCCAGGGGGGGTGAACTTTAAAGTTTGTGGGCGAGGTATAGCAAATAGGAGGGAAATAGCATTGGAACCTCCCACAGTCCCCATGTTCTTCAACCCCAGCTCTAGGCGCACATTAGAATCATCTGGAGAGCTTTAAAACATCCTATGCAATGTTGTGTCCTAGATTGGATCCTGAAGCAGAAAGAGGACATTAATAAAAAAATCTAATGAAATCTAAATAGACAGCCTGACTTTTGGCCAAGATGGAGGCACAGGTAGACACACTGTGCCTCCTTGCACAACCAAAAGAAGGACAACAATAAATTTAAAAATAAAAAGCAACTGGAACTGACATAAAATTGAACTGTCTGGAAGTCTAACAACAAAGGAGTTAAAGAAGAAACATTCGGACCAGTAGGAGATGGGCAGCCAGGTGGAGAGGACTCCAGGAAAGGCAATGGCTGGAGAACTGGACAAGGCAGTGGCTTGCAGACTGGGAGGTCCCACATTTATGTGCAAATAAACTGGGAGGAACAACTGGGGAGCAAGACAGACTGCGCAACCCAAGGCTCCAGCTGGGGGGCTGGGGGGTGGGGAGAAGCCTCAAACCTCTGACCGAAAACACCTGTCGGGGTTGAGGCAGCAGCAAGAGAAACTCCTAGCCTCACAGGAGAGTTCATTGGAGAGACCCACAGGGTCCTGGAATGTAGACAAACTCACCCACCCAGGAATCAGCACCAGAGGGCCTGACTTGCTTGTGGGAAACAGGGGAAGTGACTGACAAGTGGCAGAGAGCAGAGCAAGTGGCATTGTTTCCTCTCAGACCCCTCCCCCATACACGATTTCACAACGCTAGAATGTGGGTTGTCCAGCCATAGTGAACACCTAAGTCTCCGCCCCTTACTATGTAATAGGTGCACTGAGACCAAAAAAATGGCCCAAATGAAAGAACAGATCAAAGCTCCAGAAAAAATACAACTAAGTGACGAAGAGATAGACAACCCATCAGATGAACAGTTCAAAACACTGATAAGCAGGATGCTCACAGAATCGGTTGACTATGGTAGCAAATTAGAGGAGAAAATGAAGGCTATAAAAAGTGAAATAAAGGAAAATGGACAGGAAACCAACAGTGATGGGAAGGAAACCGGGACTCAAAACAATGGTATGGACCGGAAGGAAGGAAGAAACATTCGACCAGAACAGAAAAAACAAGAATTCAAAAAAAAAAAAAAAATGAGGAGAAGCTAAGGAACCTCCAGGACATCTTTAAACATCCCAACATCTGAATCATAGGGTTGCCAGAAGAAGAAGAGAAAGAGCAAGGAATTGAAAACTTATTTAAAAAAATAATGAAGGAGATCTTCCCCAATCTGGCAAAGGAAATAGACTTCCAGGAAGTCAAGGAAGCTCAGAGAGTCCCAAAGAAGTTGGACCCAAGGAAGTGCACACACAAGGCACATCATAATTACATTACCCAAGATTAAAATGAAGGAGAGAATGAATCTTCAAAGCAGCCAGAGAAAAGGAAACAGGTACCTACAAAGGAGTCGCCATAACACCATCAGTCAATTTGCCAAAAGAAACCTTTCAGGCAGGAAGGGGCTGGAAAGAATTATTCAAAGTCATGATAGGCAAGGACCTGCATCCAAGATTACTCCAGCAAAGTTATCAATGAGAACGGAAGTGCTTCCCAGATAAGGAAAGTTAAAGGAGTTCACCATCCCCAAGCCCTTATGATTTGAAATGTTAAAGGAACTTATCTAAGAAAAAGAAGATAAAAATATGAACAATAAAATGACAACAAACTCACAGTTATTAACAACTGAACCTAAAAACAAAAAACCAAACAAATAAACAATCAAAAAACTAAGCAAACAATTAGAAAAGGAATAGAATCACAGAAATGGAGATCACATGGAAGGTTATCAGTGGGGGAGGGGAGAGAGGAGGAAAACATACAGAGAATAAGTAGCATAAATGGTAGGTAGAAAATAGACAGGGAGGAGTTAAAAATAGTATAGGAACTGTAGAAGCCAAAGAATTTATATGTAAGACCCATTGACTTGAACTAAAGGGGAGGAATGTTGGTTGGAGGGGGTGTGCAGGGTGGAGGGGAATAAAGGGGGGAAAATGGGACAACTGTAATAGTATAATCAATAAAATAAATTAAAAAAAGAAATCCAAATAATATCTGTAGTTTGCATATCAATAATGTAACCATCTTAGTTTCTTAAGTTTTGATAAATTGACCATGGTTATGTAAGATATTAAATTAGGGCAAACTGGGTGAGAGGTATACAGGAACATCTGTACTATCTTTACTTTTCTAGAATTCAAAAATTATTCCTGAAAAATTATTTAAATCAAAAGTAATTAAAAATAAATATACCTGCCCTGGCTGGTGTGACTCAGTGGATTGAGGGCCAGCCTGCAAACTGAAAGGTTGTCAGTTTGGTTCCTGGTCAGGGCACATGTCTGGGTTGCAGGCCAGGCCCCCAGTTGGGGGCATGTGAGAGGCAAACGATTGATGTTTCTCTCCCACACGTCAATGTTTCTCTCCCTCTCTTTCTCCCTTCTTTCTCCTCTCTCTAAAAATAAATAAATAAAATCTTTAAAAAATAGATAACTATACCTATCTCTGGATGTCACCCTCAACAAGGCAACAGAAACCCTAGGAAGGTATCTGGGCATGTGCAACTTTGACATCTTCCCCAGTGGTTCTAATATACCATGAGGGTGAGAGACACTGTTCTACACCATGAATATGTGAGAGACTGGGATTGTCTGGTTCTGCACCGTAGCCCTGTACCTAGCACAAGGCCTACATGGAGACCTTGCAAATTGTGCCCTTGCTGAACCAAAGTTTATTTGTAAAAATCTTCTCTGAGTCCTCTGTTACAACAGAAGGAAAACTGAAACAATCCCCTCACACCACTGCAAAATTTACCCAGAGATTTAAAAACATATATTTATTTTTAGAGAGGGGTGGGAGGGAGAAAGAGGGAGAGAAACATTGGTATGTGAGCGAATCCACCAATTGCCTCTCACATGCCCCCATCCTGGGACTGGCCTGCAACCCAGACATGTGCCCTGACTGGAAATTGAACCAGCGACCTTTCAGTTCATAGGCCAGCACTCAATCCACTGAGCCACACCAGCCAGGACTATGCCTGGAGATTTTCGGACCTCTTTCTACCTAGAATAGTTCCTGCTCCTGCCCCCAGTCTCTGGTCATTTTTACTTAATCCTGACCCTTATCACCAGATACTAAAATACTAACTACTGCCACTTCATTGTTCGAAAGTCTTACTTATTTTCCCATATCCTAACAAATAAGTGAAATACTCCAATAATACACTCTTGTACACTCTAATAAGACAAGATTTTTGCCTTACAAGCCTGCTATTCCACATGGACCCTGTGGGAACTGGGCGTGTGGAGTGCTCGAACCCCCTCCTCTGTCACGTGCAATGCTGTTTGTCCTTACCTGTAATGCAGATCCTCTCCATCTCTCAAGGTTCCACTTGTGTAATTTTTTCAGGTCACTCAGCAAAAAGTAAGCATTCCCTTTAGTGTATCTACTGTTCAAATGGCACTAGCATTTACTATTTTCTTTTGTAATTACTTGTTTTCTGTTTTATTTCCCCATAAGACTAGATTAAACCCCTGGTCAGCAAGGACTATGTTATAGGTCTTCTAATCCTCAAAATGCTTACCATGACAGGGTCCACACAGCTAATTAAGCATGTAATAATGATTTAATGTACATTGTTCACAAATACAATATATAAAAAGTAAAACTAGAAAATCAAAACTCAAATACACAAGTAAACTACATTCAACACTCCAAAATATCTTTGAAGGAGTCCAAGAATAAGCATTGTTCAAATTAACTAGAAATCCAACTAAAGCCTGAATAAAATTTTGATGGTGTTATGACATTAACAGTTGAACACAGTTGATGAGAAAACTATATACTTATCCAAAGTTTAAGTGTTCACACTTATGAATTGTTCTGCTCATAAGAAATAACCAAAGAAATGTTTGCTATTCAGGTGATATTATTCATCGCTCCCCTTTCCCATTTCCGAGTCTCCCCATCACTCTCCTCCCCCCAATATACATTCATGTGCACATACACTGCAGGATATTGTCAACGTGGTTGAGCCTGAAAAAACACATTAGTTCTCTCTTTCAGATATGGGCTATACATGGAAAAAAACACTACTCAAATATTAATGAATGTTGCAGAGATTGCTACAACACTGAGGAAATCACACGTAACAAGATGTGTATTGCGTTGCAAAACTGTGATGGCTGAGCACTGCTAAAACAAAACATAACTGTAGACGTCATTTTCTGGATGTGTCTCTTGAGGAAGATTTGGAATTGCTGGTATCTGTGGTCCTTGGGCTTTGGGTTGTCCTTCCAGTTCTGCAAAATCAAACAAAATACAGAAGTAGGTTCAATAACTGGTATTGAGACAACTGAGTGTCCATTGGGAGGGGAAAAAACTACCTCACACTGTGCACAAAAAGAAATTTCAGATTAAAGATTTAAATATTAAAAGACCCTAAATGTTGTGGGAACCATAGAATGATCCTATAATCTTCGGATTATAAAGGGCTTTCTAAGCAGAACTCAGAGCAGGAACCATAAAGAAAAAGACAGTTTTGAACGACTAAAAACTGAAATTAAAATTTTGCCATAAACATAGCAAAAACCACTATAAACAAAGGTAAACCACAAACAGAAACTAGAAAATTATTTACAACGTACATATAGGTAAAGGTTTAACAACTATGATTTAAATTGACTTTTAATGAGTAAAAAAAGATCGATATTTCAAATTTAAAATGAAACCAAGATTTAAACAGGCAGTTCTCAAAAGAAAAATTCAAATTTGTAATAATCATGAAAAGATGTCAAGTAACATTAGTCATCAAAAAAGCAGAAATTAAAACAATTTGTTGGGGTTTTTTAACATAAAAGATAGGCAAAGATTTTTTAAACATTTACTTGGAACCCTACGAACCCCATGGTTTTGTCGCACTTTTCTTTCAGGAGAAAAGAGCAAATCAACTATCAGAGAGATTTCTTTAGAAAACAATTCCCTGGAGATAACTGTGCTCTGACAGCCTCACCTGTTTTCGTACAGTACACTTTGCAGTACCCTATGAGATTCTCAGTTATGGTCCTGAGGCAAGTCCCACTGAAGAAAGGTCACACGGTTTCCAAAATGCTATGCTTAGGAGAAAGCTTCTCAGGAACAAACATCAAAATCGAAAGGGTTTCTGGTAAATGTGGTAAATCCTATTAATTAATACAGGGATCATATTTTACACCTTTTTAACTCCCTCAGTACCTTATGCCATGAATTTAGTTGCCTTTTGTTTGACAGGAAATGTTAATTTTTGAAAAAAACTTTACTCAAGTTTTCTGGTAAATCTAAACTTAATTTTCCCTTAAAATATTTTGCACACAATCATCTCATATTGGGTTCATTTCTTTTCATTGGCTAAAGCTTGCCCAGTGTGTACACGTACCTATCATACACATTTAGATTTTCAATTATTTTTTCAGTTCTTTGGAAATATGCCACATACACATTGGTTAAATTAAAAACTAGCCAACGACAATGATGCTCCTTGAGGTAACTGGGGATAACCTAGGACTATTGAAGGATATAAAGCACCACTTTGAGGGAGGCATACCTAGCCAGTGCTCTAATTGGAAATGGGAACATGTCACTGACTTGTCCCTTATGCATTACCCCTACCTGGAGGAAAAACATCCTTAACATCTTCTTGGTGTGTTTTAGGACCCTGGCCTTGGGGCCCACCTGCTTCTTGGTTTGGTTCTGGAAAGCACTCTTTATTTTTACATGTCTTAGTAGAGAGGTCTTCAGGCCCAGGTGTTTCTTGGTGCATGCATGGATCAGATGGACATTCTTCAGGAGCAGGTATTTCTTGGATTGTTTTATGAGAGAGGGCTGTAGGCACAGCACTTTCTTTAGTATATGCTTTATAAGAAAAGTGTTCAGGTTCGGCTGTTTTGTGGTGTATTTTTGTAGGAAGGTTTTTAGGCACAGCTATTTCTTCTTGTGTTTTAGGAAAAAAACTTTCAGTCCCAGCTATTCCTTGACCTGGTTCAGCAGTGTCTTCCTTGCGTTCAGCTTTTTTTGGGTGTATTTCAAGAGCGTAGCCTTTAGGCACATCTGGTTTGGGGTATGCTTCGAGAGAGTGTCCTTCCGGGTCAGCTCTGTCTTCATATGTTTTAGAAGGAAGGGCTTTGGCTACAGATGTTTCTTGGCACATTTTAGGAGAGAGGTCTTCAGGTTCAGCCATTTCATGGGACATTGTGGACAAATGGTCTTGGATTACAGCTATTTCTTGGCACATTTTAGGAGAGAGGTCTTCAGGTTCAGCCATGTCATGGCACATTTTGGAAGAATGGTCTTGAATTACAGCTATTTCTTGGCACATTTTAGGAGAGAGGTCTTCAGGTTCAGCCATGTCATGGCACATTTTGGAAGAATGGTCTTGAATTACAGCTATTTCTTGGCACACTTTAGGAGAAAAGTCTCCTGGTTCAGCCTTCTCTCGGCCTACTTCAGAAGGGTGGTCTTGTACTATTGTTTCTTGGCACTGAGAAGAACTTTCCTGATCTATCATGCTTTCTTGACCTGCTGCAGAATTTTTTTTCTCAGGTACAACTCTTGGTGGGGAAGCTACGAGACAGAGGGCTTCAGTTACACTCCCAGGTAATTCATTTTCTTTCTCCGCAGGTGCCAGGGTTTTCTCCGTCATTTCCTTTTCTAACTGTGGCTGGGGCTCCACCTTCAGTTCTGTATTGTGTTGTCTCTTTCTGCCTCTTTGATTTCCTTTTCCTGTTCTCTGCCGCTTGTGTTTTTTCTCTCTGCAGAGAGATCAGAATTAGTGTCAGCAATGGGGCTACAGAACTCAGATAAATGCATGGTAATAACAGTCTAGGGCTGCCACTGTTCGGCCGCACGACCGTTGCACAAGTCAGTTGTCTCTCTGGGCCTCAGTCTCCTTGTTTGCAAAATGAAGGAGCAGTGCTAACGTTCTCAGTGGTCAGGAAAGGAAATGCCCCTCAGGGATGTTTTGTCTCTGTTGCCTTGCTCACCAGGAAGTGTAGCATGTGTGTGCGGTTGAGGACATCATACCCTAGTCTTTTGGGGTTTAAAGCCTGGGTGACTTAGTCCCTCTGCGCCCTGGGTGAACTCACTCAGTTGTGGTTCTAAGATCCTCAGTCCAGACACTGCTCCTTGTGTGTGCAGCCCACAGGTGGATGATGTATTTGGCTTTCTTATCTAACGCAGTGTCTTGTGTAAAGAATGCTAAGTACTTACAATACACGTCAAGTGAGATATACTGCAAGCTGGGTCAAAAGCTGCAAAACATTTCTTGAGGTTAACAAGCCTGATGGAAAGGCCTGCGCGGCCATGTCATGCCTACTCTGAAGTAACAGCTGAAGATCTAAGAGATGAAAGGCTATGCGTGGAAGCTGCCGCCAACGTTGAATTGCTAGGTACCGCAAATATAACCAAATACAGATGGCTAATACAGATGGGCTTGGGTCGGGGAGGGGAGGAGAAAAAGGTACTATAAATAAGCACTTCATCATTTTTCCAAATCTATTGAAATTCTGGCCCACGCTACCTGCTGCAGGGAGCCTTCTCTCACAGACCCCAGGGCTGAGATGCTCCCCCTGCTTCGACTGCCTGTATGATTTATTGGGAGGGTCATGCCTAAGGCAAGGCACAGAGCCTGCCCCAATCTGTAGTGATTTCAGAGAAACCTTATTCTTTTTTCATAAACTAGATATTCTTTAGTGATAAAACCAGTGTCTTCTTACTGTTAATTTTTTAAAAATCCTCACCTGAGGATATGGTCATTGACTATAAGAGGAAGAGAGCAGGGGTGGGGCAAGGGGGGCGGGGAAAGAAAGAGAGACATCAATGTGAGGGAGAAACACTGATAGATGGGCCGCCTCCCAACTGCGCTGGACCAGGGATCGAACCTGCAAACATTTGGAGTACGGGATATTGCTCCAACCAACTGAGCCAGCCAGCCAGGACAAAAGCAGTGTCTTTTATATCTTTGTAGTGCTCATAGTTCCTTGCACAACTTAAAAATGTAGATATACCTTATTTTGTGTATGTTTGAAATTCTTCATAATGAAAAAAATATTAAAGATTACCTCACCAAAACCATTTTAAAGTCAATATAAAAAAGCTATCTAGGTGCCGTATTTTGCTGTGTGTAATGCACACCCATGTTTTGGTGCACATTATACACTCATTATTATACCCATGGTGTGGAATCATTATACCCATGTATAATGAGCATCCTTATTTTTCCCTAAAAAAATGGGCAAAAAGTGTGCACTATACATGGCAAAATACTGGTAATAGGATGGTCAAAACATTACAAATAAATTAGAAGAAAAGGTAATCTGAAAACGGTGGTATGACACCTCAGCATTCTGAAGTGTAACTCCAAATAAGGAAGGTAACACGATAAATTATAAAGTCCTTATCATCCAATTATCTGAATTCTTTAGGGAATACTTTTCCCCCCTACATATTAAGTCCTAAATAATTTGTTAAGTAGATCTCTAAATGAGGAAATCTGAGTAATACAATGTTCCATGTTCTTCCTGGTAATTTTTCAAAAGATGCAAAAATATCCATGTGGTCTAAAATTTCATCTGTATTCTGTCATTTATCAACTATGTGATCATAGGCAAGTCACTTAACCTCTCTATGCCTTGGTTTCTTCATAGGTTTAAATGGAGTTAGGGCATCTCCCCAACCTCACAGGGTTGTTGCAAGAATTGCATGAATGAATTATCCAAACACAACGTTAGCACTTTTGTATTCACACAGGAATCACTTACGGTGCTTCCTATGTACCAATCACTTTTTAAGTAATTTCATTATTCACATCACCTGGTGAGGTGTTATTATCTCCATTTTGCAGATGACAAAACTGAGGCCCAGAGAGAGTGAGTAAATCATCTAAGATCAAACGACTGGCAAGCAAAAGAGCTAGGCATCCGATCTGGTCATTATGGCTTTACCAGCCAGGCACTTAGCCATTACACTCTGCTGCTTCTCTCTGGAACTACTAAGGTTTCACTGTGTGGTATGGGGTCAAGGAAACAGCTCTCAGTAGTACAGAAATGTGTCACCAGAGCAGGACCAGCCAGCTGCCAAGAGGCTTGCCAAGGTGTTCTCTACTTCGGTGACTTCCTCAGCCTTGGCTCCCCAGCCGGGTGAGCACAGAAACCCAGTTCTATGATCACACTGAGACAAGCTCCAATAATCAGAGTAGAGCTCATCAACCAGCTCAAGGAGACTGATATGCAAGCCCAGAGACCCATTTTTTTTGGAGAAAACTTTATATTTATTTTTCTTCCTTTTAAAAAATTGTTGGGAGAAACAGATAAAAAAAATGTACTTGAAAAGTAACTAAATAAAATTTAATATTAAAAAAAAATTGTTGACACTATTACAAACATCCCTCATTTCCCTCTCCTTTGCCCCCTTCACCAGGCCTTCGTCACATTGTTGTCTGTGTCCATGGGCTGGGCACATATGCATACATGTTCTCTGGCTGATCTCTTAGCAGTCCCTTCCATCCCCGCCCCGAGACCTACCAAAGACCCATTTTTAAATGAACAGGGAGAAATGCAAAGTCATACAGCAAAGAATACTTGGACTGACAAATTAATCACTCTTTCTCTGTAGCAAGTACTTGGGAGGCCAACTAATGATCAGAAGGTTGCTTGGCAAGAATAGAATTAGGGGAGCTGATAGGATGCTCTTCAACAGAGTCACCTGCCATAGGACCCAAGTAGAGACGTTTCTGCTGAAACATAACAAACACATTCCTGAAAACCTCAATTTCTGAAAAATCATGCACTAGAAGTAACAGTACTTATGGAGAAAAAATAGAGCTGGGGCAGATGACTCAAAACCTGTACAACGTTTTAACATTAGCAAAAGCAGTAGCCGGTACCTGAGATAACCTGGATAATCCAGACAGGTAGTTTATCCTGACTGGGGTTGCCTCGGGGGCTAGTAAAAAATGCACACAAGCCACAGTGTAAGTGCAGGTGCAGAGATCATGCAAATAGGAGCGGCACTCTGAGCCAGGGGAGCCACCATGAAGTTGGGCACAGAAGGAAGTGCAACCTGCCACCCTTCTCCTGGGGAACAGCCGTGGGTGCAGCTGAAAAGGATCCTGCCTATAGAGCAGCCGGGCTGAAGGCTTTTCCTTTCCTGCTAAAGGTTTTGGTTTTATTCACACTATTCTGGTTCCTGTGACTAGAAAAAAAATTAACTTCCACGTTATGCTGACATATTCTCCTGTTTGTCAGTCACATATGTGCTACCTGGTTGCAGCAGAAAAGACAATAGCCAGTCCATATCAGGGACAGATGCCCTTTCTTCAGAACAGTGCTTAGATCAGTGATTCTCATGGGGGGGAGGTGATTTTGCCCCCTCTCTGCCTGCCCCGGGCGACATTTGACAATGTCTGTTGACAATTTTGGTTGTCACATCTGGGGGAAGAGAGGAGTACTATTGGCCAGAAATGCTGCTAAACATCCTCACACAAAGAAGCACCCCACCCACGGTGTCATCAGTGCCGAGGTAAAGAAAGCCTGGCTTTAATGGATGCTGTACTCCTGGATCCTGACTTTCCTGTTTCCATCTCCAAGCAAGCAGCACCTCTGTTTTCACAGCCATATTCTAAATGGATGCAGTTTGATGCTGCTTGATTTACAAACGTGTCCTGTACTCCCTCCCTGAGACGACAGGCGGGCAACTTCAACGGGAGATCCAGGAACTCCCGACTCTCCTCTCGTGTCACTCATTTACAATATTTTGGTTTCCTCCATAGAGAGTTAATCACACCCATTCGATAAGGATCACTAATAGCGTGGAGAACAGCCTCGGAGATTTCCTCAGTACTGTCTCCTGCTCCCAGTGAGATTCTTTCACGTTTCTACTGCCAGAGTGGCTGATCACCAGGCCTCTCTGCAATATACAGCGGGGGTGTCAGGCTCATTTTCACCGGGGGCCACATCAGCTTCACAGTTGCCTTCAAAGGGCTGAATGTAATTTTAGGACTGTGTGAATGTAGCTACTCCTGAACTAGGGACAAGGAGCTCTGCATCTGGCCCCTGGTGAAAATGAGTTTGACACCCCTGATATACAGGGTCCGGCAGAAATAACACCTGCTTGGTAGGGTATGTGAATGTCTCGTACAAGATAGACAGCGATTTAAATATTTCACCTACAATGTCATACGGTGTGGTTGAGTGTGATATTGTTATGTTACAGAATTACATGCTTATGATTTTGTAATAACAGAGGGGCGTTATTTGTGCCAGCCCCCCCCACCCTGTAATTTGATTGCCTGGTGTTTTAATTTAAAGAGACCAGAGATAAAGTTCTGTTCCCACCACTTTACTAGCTGTGTGACTTTAGGCAAAAGATTTAACCCATTGGACATTTGGTTTTCTGTCTTTTTTTTTTTTTTTTTTTTTTTGGTAAATGGGGATAACAGCTCTGGATTTCCAGGATTGCTGGAACGATAAAATATAGCTGCGACAGCGCTCAGCAGTACTTGGCGCACAGTGCTTACTGGATAAATACCAGTTCCTTTTTCCTTTGCAAGGATACCATACCCAAAATGCCATTGTGAAGTTTGCTTTTCTTGTGCTTCAGCTTTTCTTTTTCTGAGTTGCTCTCTGTTTCGCAAATTCCAAGTTCCAATGACATCTGTGGGATCAAAATGAAAGTTATAGGAGACAGACAAAATGAAAGTAATAGGAGACAGACGAATTGTGACACTTTCCCGAAAGAGTCCTCCAGCGGAGTGGCAGGATCCCTGTGCTGCGTGTCTGCCTTCTCCTAGCTTTTTGGGGACAAGGACTCTACCTTAGTTATCCTTCTACCACCAAAGAATGCCTAGGAGCAAACAGTAAACATTTGAAAATGAAAAGGTCAGTATTTGTATGTAGTTGTACTACTGACCTATTAATTTCTTCATAATAATTTTTACATATGGTACAAACCTAAAAGAAAAAAATCAACCATAGTCTGCCATCCTTAACATTATAATCTGTTTTCATTTTATTTCTCATACCAGTCTAGTTCTGATATTACCCAGAATTGTAAAGAGAGCATATCACAGTTTTATCATTTACTAAATTACATCAGAAATATTTCCCATGACCTGGTCTTCGTAATTATAGATTTACTAACTGCATGATACTTAATCAAGTTGATGTATTCTCATTTACCTGTATTTGTATTGGACATATAGGTTGTTGCCAGTTATTTTATTTTTTGCCATTATAAATCAAACTACAATAGGTATACTCTTGAATGTAGCTTCCTTTAAAGGGGGGAGTTTTTCCATAGGATAGTGCTTCTCCAAGTCCTTTGGAACATTAAAGGTATTGTCAAAAATGTTCTGCTTCCATCCATGTCTGAGGAAAGTGAGTGGGTCTTTGATGTAAAATTTATTAGAACCTGTGGAGTGATAGCCAATTTGCACTGGGACCCCCAGTAGATGAATCATGCCCCTGGGACCATGGTCCCTTTTGTTCTTAGGACAGAAGTTGTTAATGATGAACTTGGATGGGAAAAAAAATCACACCTTTATTTTTACTAATCTCTAATTAAAATGACCATTTCCTTCAACTATGAATGTAGGTAATAAACCCTGGTAGTTTTAGCAGTGGGTGACTTTGTCACCAAAAGTAATTACAGGTTCTTTTTGTATAACATCACAGTTGTTCCCACTACCTCCACTGTATCATTTGAGATGGTATAGTTGATTTCAGACAATCATTATTAGATCCACCTTAAATGGATCCTGCTTCTTAATGCATCTATAAAGGCGCCCATCTGTCACAATACCACCGTTTTTCATTTTGACAAGTGTATCTCAATTCTTTCCTTTGTAAGCCTAAGTATTTACTTTTGTATATTTAAAATACTACTCTAAGGAGGAATTTAGGGGTTCATCAAAATGCCAAAGGAACCCATGGCCCCTAAAAACTATAAAACACTATCTCAAGTCCTAGGATTCTGCAAACATTTTGAGAAATGCAGCTTTAGGACAGACCCAATGAGTGAAATTAGTGAACCAGAAGAATAAGCACTATAGTTCTTGCCACCCATTGCTATAGCTCCCAAAAGTTATGCCAAATATACGCTGCCACAGAAGTAGACGGGTGTACTTGTTTTGCCACCACCATCCAGCGTTGGGCATTTTCGCTCCCTTTCATTTCAATGTATTTCTTATATCCTTGTGTTTCTCTGGCTTGTTAAAATCTTAGCACTAGAAGTCACCTCAGGAAGTTATACAGCCCTGATTCTTCCCACCTGTGGTTATATGTATGCACTCAATCATGCCCTTCTTTTTCCATTAAAAAAAGAGGAAAATAATCCTAGCCCCAATTCTTCCCAACAGCTACAACCTCTTTCATTACCTGGAACGTGGTTCTTTTCTTGATCAAGGTCAGATGGCTCACGGGGCATCAAATGAGATGGGTTCTTTCCCAAATCCATCTTTCTGCAATACCGTCCTGCTTATTTGGTCTGACTTCCTCAAGCTGCCTTTTAAAAAAATATCAAAAGCAATCAACAGCTTAAAAAAACACACGCATATACATACAAGTTCACTTGTCACTTGACTTCCCGCCTAAAAGTTTTATCTGGTTGGACCACAGCTGCTGGCTAGTTCTACTTTCTTATCACACTGCACAGGTGTGAGTAGGGGTCACGACTGCTGCCATGGCCTCACACTCTAGCACAGTTGTTGGTTGTACAGGAGCCTGAGCCTCAGCCCCAGTCCCAGCCTGGCATGGCACAGCCTCTGGTTCGGCAGCCATTTGGTTTTGTCTGCCAAGAAGTGCCTGAGTCTGAAGTTCTGTTTTACACATGGAGATGCCATAATGTAGAAAGAACAAATGCGGAAAGAACACTAAGTCTAGGATCTAACCAGACCCACCCCTTTCTGTGGCTCTTTCCGTATTTGACAAGTGGGTAAAAATAGTTCCTGACTTGCAAACCTCACACAGTCTTGTGAAAGTGAAAATAAATGAATATGAAAATTATAAAGTGTGCCACACAGATGTGAAGTTAATCTTACATTGTTTTTCTGCATGTGGCTTGTTTTCCCACCTTAATCTGTTGCAAATGAATGTAAAGTCTTGCTATATATGCTATTATAGACTTAGAAAATAGACGTGAAGAACCAAAATAGGAATTTGAAGCAAATTTGGGCCCTTTTCTGCTAACTTGATCATTTACAATGGACTCAAGATAACTAGTGAAACCCACTGTTACTCAGCCAGGGAAGGTCAAAAAGCATTTCCTCATGAACATATCAGCACATTATGTCACAGAAATAAAGCTGAAGCAAAAGGAATCGCCCCATCTCCAATCAGTCACCCCATCTGTGAAGGCAAAAGGCGCAGAGAACCACAGCTGTTCAACTAAGGAAGGAGTGCTGAATGCCTCCTGACACCTGCAGTTAGTCCAGGAGGGGCGGGGTCAACAATGTGTCTGGAGTCACAGACTGACTTGAGGAGTGTTTGAATTCCAGTGTCGCCATGTTCCCTAATTCAATGACCTTGGGTCAGTTAGTCATGGAACCACTTTACCTCTTTACAGAATGGGGACAATATATTATCTAGCTCATGGGGTTATTGGGATGACTGAATCAAATAACCTGTCTAAGGCATTTTATGTGCCTGACATGTTGAGTTTGCTTAGTTGTTAGCTGCTTTTATTAATAATAAAAATACAATGGCCAGATTTTGGAAAACCAAGTCATAGTTTAAATGCATTTAAGAAACTCAAAATTTGGGGGTGGGCTGGGATGGGGGTAAAAGGCAGAAAACTGTACTTGAACAACAATTAAATTTTTTTAAAAAGAAACGAAATTTGAAAGGGATCCTTTATAATATGAATAGGTGCCTCTACTTCCATAGAGTCTTTAAAAAATTTTATTGATTGATTTGAGAGAGAAAGGGAGAGAGAGAAAGATATTAATTTGTTGTTTCACTTATTTATGTGTTCATTCATCATTTCTTGCATGTGCCCTGTTTAGGGATTGAACCCAGAACCTTGGTGTATCAGGACATCACTCTACCAACTGGCCTACCCGGCCAGGGCTCCATAGAGTCTTAGGCGTTAGAACTGGAAGGGCCCCTGGGACCATCTAGTCCCTTGCCCTGTTTTATATACAAAGAAACTGAGAACTAAGGAAGGATTTACCTGTCCCAAAATTTCTTACTTATTGCTGGCAGCACCTCTTATAGATTATCAGACGAGCCATCACCTCATGCTTGGTTTTGCCTGGGTATGAACATGTATGTGTGTTGTGAACATATACATTGACAAGTTTTGAGAATTACATAGCACACATACAAGTACCCATCACCAAAACTTAACAGGGTTTTTAACAAGCAGATCCTAATGCTTTAGCTTTAAGTTTCTCAATTCTTCATCTCTTACAAGTTTTTATTTAAAAATTCAGATAAGTTCAGGGAGTACCTATTCAAAAGGAATCCTGTAGAGAATGGAAGGCATGCTTTGTAATTTATCTCTTGATTATTTTTGGATTTTCAGATAGAGGGTTTTAAAAAATTAAATACAATGTAGTAGGTGTTCTGTAGAATCCAGTGGCATAGCCTCCTCTATCACCCAAGCTATGTATTTGAGGTGTGCCCTTTGTGTGGGCTGATTACACCCTCTTCTTGTAGTTGAGCCTAGGTTTCTGTTGGCAGATCAATGGGAGGAATTTACCCTGGCCAGTCAGCTGCAAGGATTAGCTGTGACCACTGACCACCAAGCTCTGTTCTCTATGGAAGATCCGCTGTGCAAGGGCAGGGTGGTGGTGCCCCAACATGGTCTGTAGCTGTCCACTGGGTGTGCTGGCCCTGGGGTTTTCCAGGTGGTGCAGGCTAAGGTCAGCCCCCACGTACGTTTTGCTCTGGGGCCACCCTGCTTGAGCTATGAAGCAATCTAAAATGGCTTCTAATTGTACCGGGCTTGGAGATTCCCAGGTAAAGCCAAACTATAAATCTAGGCTGGCTGCGGCTAGTGCCAGGCCTGGAGCTCACTGAAGCCAGCTCTCACTTGTTTAAGAGGATTTAGGAAGCTGTGAAGCATGAGCCAAGACCAGTTATTCATACGGAAAGGCAGCTTGGGTGGGCCCTGTAAGCTGGGTGCGGCAGAGGCTCTGGGGATTTCCAAGGTGGGTCCAACAGCGTTAGGTTGATGGAGTCTCAGATATAGCACCAGTTTGCTGGCTCTGTGGGGGGATTGTTTAGAAAAAGGACAATGGCCTATGCTCGCCTTGATGGTAGACACTTCAGTTCCTCCCTGTGTGCCACTGGTACCTTTCATCCTTCTACCCCAGTGCCGGAGCTCAGAGGGAGTGAGTCTGAGTAGGTGGGTCTGTGTGTGGGTTTTTTAAGAGGAACTGCTTGAGGCTCCAGAAGTTTCTTCCACAGACTCAATCCCCACTGGTTTACGCAGCCAGAAGCTGTGGTCAAAGCAGTTCTACCTGATACATAGGAACAAACACAGGGAGGCTACCAAAATGAGGAGACAAAGAAAAATGGCCCAAATGAAAGAACAGATCAAAACTCCAGAAAAAGAGCTAAATGAAATGGAGATAAACAATCTATCAGATGCAAAATTCAAAAGGCTGGTTATAAAGATGCTCAAGGAACTTAGTGAGTACCTCGATAGCATAAAAACAGTGTGGTCAGGGAAAATATTATGCTGAGTGAAATAAGCCAGGCATTGAAAGACAGATACCATATGATCTCACCTTTAACAGGAAGCTAAAAAACAAAACAAATAAGCAAGCAGAATATCACCAAAGACACTGAAATAGAGAACAGGGGGACAGTGACCAGAGGGGAGAGAGGAGGGAATTTCAGGGGAAATAGGGGAAGGATTTACAGGAACTAGTATAAAGGACACATGGACAACAACTAAGGGGGGTGGAAATGGGAGGGAGGTGGGGAGCACTGGAGGGGTGGGAGGGGATGGGAGTAAAAGACAGAAAACTGTACTTGAACAATTAAATTTAAAAAATTTTTAATGTAGTCGGAAATGGAGGATACACCAATTGAAATAAAGAACAATTTATAAGGAAACGACGGTGGAGTGGATGAAGCTGAGAATTGAATCAATGATTTGGAACATAAGGAAGCAAAAAACAACCAATAAGAACAACAAGAAAAAAAAAGGATTTAAAAAAACGAGGACAGTAAAAGCAGCTTCTGGGACAACTTCAAGAGGTTCAACATTTGCATCATAGGGGTACCAGGAAGAGAAGAGAAAGAGCAAGAAATTGGAAATCTATTTGAAAAAATAATGAAAGAAAACTTTTCTAATTTGGTGAAGGACATAGACATGCAAGTCTCAGAAGCACAGAGAGTCCTAAACAAGATGGATGCAAAGAGGCCCACTCCAAGACGCATCATAATTAAAATGCCAAAGGTTAAAGATAAAGAGAGAATCTTAAAACCAGCAAGAGAAAAGAAGCTAGCTATCTACAGGGGAATTCCCATAAGACTGTCAGCTGATTTCTCAGAATAAACTTTGCAGGCTAGAAGGGATTGGCCAGAAATATTCAAAGTCATGAAAATCAGTAACCTACAGCCAAGATTGCTCTATCCAGCAAAGCGATCATTTAGAATCAAAGGACAGAGAGAAAGCATCCCAGACAAGAAACAACTAAAGGAGTTCATTACCACCAAACCACTATTATATGAAATGTTAAAGGGACTTATTTAAGAAAAAGAAGATCAAAACTATGAACAATAAAATGGCAAAAGAATACATATCTATCAATAGTGAAATCTAAAAAACACACTAAGCAAACAAGAAGAGCAGAAACAGAATCATGGATACAGAGAGCATTTTCATGGTTGCCAAATGGGAGGGAGGTGTAGGAGAATGGGTGAAGAGGTGAGGGGATTAAGAAGTACAAATAGATAGTTATAGAATAGTCATGGGGATGTAAAGTACAGTATAGGAAATGGAGTAGCCAAAGTACTGATATGCTTGACCCACAGGCATGAACAACTGTGGGTGGATGGCCTGAGGGAGTGGGGGGTGCTGGGTGGAGGGGGAGCCAAAGGAGGAAAAATCAGAACAACTCTAACAGTATAATCAATAAAATATAATTAAAAAATAAAATGTCAAATTTAAATTAAAAGAAACTTTGAAAATTATAAAATAATATTATCTTAAATTTTAAATTTACATTTTAAACATTGGTGCCTTTCTTTATTTGAGATGTTTAGTTCTTACCAGTTAGGTTGTTTCTTATGATAGCTCAATAAAATAACCTTATAGAATACTTCTGGGGCACCTCACAGAAAATGTGGAAGTACTTCTTAAATAGGATTATCTTTACTCAGACCTTATAACACCCATTTCAACAATTCAACAAACCTGCTGAATGCCCACTCTGTACCACAAATGAGCAAGGGTGTCAAGGCATAAAGATGAACAGATGTAGTCCCTGAGTTCTATGTACTGTAGGCTCACAGAGAAATACATACATCTTATTGTAAGGAAATATTTAGATTCTTTATTCCTTATTGCAACCTTCCTAAGTTGATCCCACCTCTGCCTCATGTTCTCTGTATCTAGAAGCAGAATATGGGGTGACTATATTGAGGGTGGGGCCCCAACTTCACAGTTAGGGAGGCAATATTGGGTGGAGGGGGCCAGTGGAGGGGGGACTTTGAAGAAAACTAGATTGGAAGTTTGGGCAAGGTGTCTCTGGTGTGATAAGCAGGCCAGAGAGGGAACTTGTCTGTGACAGAAATAGCCACACAGTAAGTTCACAAGCCATAGCTCATTGTCCCTTCTCTCTGTAGAAAATTGTGGAGCCATTGCCAAAATGTGAGCTCTTA